TTTTTTTTTCTCTGTCCTCTTTAAATACTCTATTTGAGGCATCGGCAACATTTTTGGGCAGAGAAACACCCACAACATTGACTTGTAAGATGTTGGCATGCCAGGGGTGGACAGCGGGGGAGCCATGAGGGGCCCAGCTTTCAAGCCTTTCAGTTATGCCAGCTCTTGAAAGAAGCATGCAAATAGTTTGATGTCAGCTCTTTTGCTTATGCAAAGTTTGTCGTCTCCAGCCACCAAATATTAAGGCTGGAACTTCTCAGTGACCAAATAGTTCAGTCCTATTCTCTGTCTCCCCCTTAACCCCCCCCCTTCCCCGTGGGACTCTCAGCCAAAAAAACCCCTTGGAGAATTTGCACCAAGAGGCTGAGAACTAAAGAGAAAGTATCTAAGTAATATATGTTGGAGTTGGTTGGTGCAAAACAAAAGCAAAAATGGTGTTTTCCCCGTGTAAAAGGATGACTCAGACTTCAGAGCAGCCATCTGGCAATGTTGGAAGCTGCCATTGCTTCGGTAGTTGCTTCCCAAGGCATGCCCAAGCACTGCTTTGCATCTTTTTGCCAGCATTTAAAGTGTAATCACTTGTCTATATATGCTTGGGTATTAGGTGTGTTTGCATTCACAAGGGTCACATCGATGAATGGCTCAATCTGCATCATAGCTATAGAGTATTACAGTTATGGGCATACTGATTAACAGGAAATCTGATTATTATGGCAGCAGAAAGCCTAAGCAAATCCCCATAATCAGTTCTGCTAGGAGATAATTCAGTCTTCAGTTAAACTGGCTTAGTCATAACTTGTGTAAGTACAACTTGCCGTTGCAGGAAAATGTGGATTTATCTGAAGCAGTTGCCTGGGCGGGGGAATACACCTGGCATCTTTGCTTGGCTTTCTTGCCTAGCAACATCAAAGGTGGGTTTCACGTATAATGGTCTGTTGTCTAATGGGCAGCTTCCATCTCTACGTTATGACTTCTAGACAGAATACCACCTCGTAGTTTGCAACACAGGGCTCCAGAAGAAGCGTACTGCCCCACTGACGTTGGGTATGAATCGTACGCTACCCTGACTTCACCTCCGTGGGCGAACTAGCCCTCGAGCCGAGTTTAATAGGCTTGTTACGCATCGTAACCACGTCAGATTTGCCCTTTTCCGTCCAGCTGGTTTTATCCATGTGGTGCAGATTGTGAAAATGTGGGTGGGAATGCTGGGATGCAGGTGGGGGCAGGGGATCCAAAGCAATCCTGAATTTGGTGGGGAGGCTGGAGGAGGGGAAACCAACCTGGGATGCATCTCAGGGTGCCGCTCGACCTGTGTGGATCTCTTCAAAGCTTTCTCCTCTGCATAAGGCCACCTGCCAGCCTGAATCTCCTGGCACGCTGAGATCTCCTCTGTGAACACAGGTAGATGAAGGTTGATCAGCTATGCGTTCTGCGTTTGGCCGTAGAGACGCTGCATGATGACTTGGCCAAATCGCATGCTCCTGCTCTTTTGTCCCTGATGCATTTTCCTATCTCCGTGGGGATTTTGATTTTTATGTATGTATTTATTTTTGCTCTGCTGTTAAAGAATTGGAGTTTGCCTTCTTTCCTGCATGCACCAAAAGTGGCATCTGTCACTGACTTTGTACTGCGATTTTCTCCCTTATTTGGTGGTCTGGGCAAACTGACCGGTGCGTGCTGCAGTGCCCTGCCTCTGTTAAACAAGTCATTATAGTCCAGATCTCATGCAAACAGAGTCTTAATGACCAATAGCTCATGCTAATTTAAGACGTCTCTAAATGCTAATTTAAGACATCTCTGAAGAAGGCTTAAACTGTGCTGTTGTGCAGGGGATTATACTGTAACTGTGTTTGGATAAGTCTGCTATAACATCAAAACGAAGTAGCTTTCTCTCTTGAACATTTTTTTTTCTCCCTTAAACTGCATGTGGGGGCGCAGGATTGTGGGTGTAAGAGTGTGGGTAAGGTTTGTACTTGTAATGAGGGAAAGAGGAGAGCAAACCTGCTTTGGAGGTGGGCTATGCTGTGTGGGGACAAGAAATCAAAACTGGGAGCTCAAGGAAGACCTTGTTCAGATCCCTACACGAGGCAGGATTAGCTACTCTGGCATCGGCGCCCCGTGCTGTAGTGGCAGTCGCGGTTGCGTGACTCAGCCTTGGTCGTGTAAATCATTGATAGGATGCCTGTGAGCTAACAGGTGCGTGTGGGCTGGAAGCAACGCAGGCTGCAGATCCAGGGAGGACCCACGTCATGCAAGTGTGATCGATCCCGGGGTATGTGGGGGTGCAGCTTTGTTACAGAGCTTCTGACCACTCTTTACTACTTCAAAATGTAAAAAAAAAAAAAAAAAGTTCTGATTTTCCTGGTTCTTGCCTGTTGATTCCTAGTTGCCCGGTCCCGGGTCCTTCCTTGTTTGTTCCTAGGCCGAGGCCCTGCTTGTTCTGTTCTCGGGGTCCTCTTTCCTGGCTCCATCCTTGTTCCTGCCCTCCTCCTTGTCCCAGACTCCAGCTCCTTGACCCTTTGTGCTCCGGACTCCAGTCTAGACCTCTACTCGCATCCCAGTCCCATATAACTATATCTGGACTGCCCAGCTAGTGACTTTTTTTAGTCTAGATCCCTGCTTCCTATTGCTGATCCCTTCGCTGCCCCTGCACAGCTCGCGGTTCTCTCCGGGATGAGCACCTTCATCCCAGTCCCTTAAAAACCCTGTCCTCCTGACCCACCTCTTCCTGATCCCCACCTCTACAGGAGACCCTTGCTGCTCCGCCCTGGTCTGTTCCTGATCTCCTGGGTTGTGTCCACGTAGGGTCAAGCCCTGACTGCGTCCTTGTATCCCGGACAGAAAGTGGCTGGAGCTGCCTGCCAGCCCAAACCAACTGGACTCCAGGCTTGTACTTAATGGCAGGGATTTTCTTGGATACTGGGGCCACCGCCTCACCTGCTGGCCACAGCCTGGGAGAGGAACGTGGTTGCCTTACCAGCAGGAAGAAGAAGGCAGTTCAGTTAAACTTTATTTAAACAGGTTTGTCCTAGTGTCATGTCCCTCGTTACCAACCTCATTTTTAACACCCAGGGATTCTGGAGCCAGAATTCAAAAGTGCAGAGGTAAATTAGTGGCCTAAATCTCGAGGGCTTTCTAAGAAATGTGGTTGCTGTACGTTTTTTGAGAAGAGCCTGAAGCACTTTGGCTCATTGCAAAAGTTTCGGCCCCGAGTAACTTTATTTCCAAGCCTTTGTAGTGGTACCATAATCGGTGTATGAAATTACTGAAGTATCGTGTGCTTAGGAAGGCAGTGAAAGCAGCTGCCTGCTTGAATGCTCCTGTTTAATGCTGTTGATAAGCTTATTTGCTTTATATTCTTGCCACACCTGCAATATGTATGGTTGAACTTCCTGTTTCCTAGTTGTGACTTTGATTAATTTTAGTTTTTACTGGTATTGTGGCTACATGAAATAGCATCTTGCCTGAAGGGTATTGACTTCAAATGCAGGTGAAAACTAGTTCCTTCAACAAAACTGCCAGTCAGCTTGCTCTTTCTGTTCCAGATGATCCCAGCTCAGGGCAGAACTGGAGAGGAAAGGTGACTTAAGTGACGCTTGCATGGTACATAATCACCTTAGTCGCAAGGCAGCGCTCTTAACTTGCTCTAAAGAGCATTACATTAATATAGCTCAAAATGTTCTTGGAAGGGAGGTCGAGCCAGCTATGCAGTTATGGTGGTCAGCATAGCCTGGCATTTGTTATGGATGTCTACCATTTGTTAGCTCACAATTTGAGGGTTGCTGAGATGGGCATGCATGCTACTTCAGTCTGGAGGGAGAGCTGGACCTTTTTGCTGTTGTAATGTGTGATCTTATTAGGTGGTATGGGCAAGACAGGAACCATGGTACCAAAAGAGTTTATCAAGTCTACTCTAACTGAAAAATGATCGCTTCTCCATAAAGAAGGGAGTACTCTGCCATTCCAGTTGGGTTGCCACCTCGTGTATATTGGCCTGATTCAGAATCCATCAAAGTCAATAGGGGCCTTTCCACCTTCCCTGGGCTGTATGGATCAAATGCATTATAGGGGAACCATTAGTAAAAGGCCAAAAAGAAAAAGCTCAAAAGTGAAAAATCTGCCTGCTTTTTAAATAACAGCTTTATTTTTATTCTTGAGAGTGAAGTAGTAAATATGTTACATATTAATGTTACATATATTTAAATTGGAAGGAGTATAGCAATACCAGCCTTCTTCTACTGGACTCTCCTCTGAAGTCCTTGCCAAGAGGAGGGAGCTTTAATTTCCATGCATGCCGATTAGTGAGGGTCCGTTGTAATTAAGATAAGCATCTATAGGCTGCACTTCAAAACAGGGCTATAAAATGTTTCAATAGGCAGACATGAAATTTCATATTTTCCCTGCAACATTGGAGCAGAACCAAGAAATGCAGGCAGCCCTTAACTTTTCAAAGAAAGCTATTGCCAAAAGGGTGGGAGAGGTTAGCTGCGAAGAAACATCTGAGAGCTATAACGTCATGGCTCCATCCCTCGGGGTTGAAAGGCGACAAAGAAATAACATATTCTGCTACTAAGATTTAAGTTGCTCTGGGTGCTTGCTGGGACTTAGCTATTAAACTTGTATGGGGCAAGGAGGGTGGGGAAGTGTTAAACAGACCTCAAAGATAACAAGATGGTTTAACTTTTGCTCCCATTTAAATGCATTGACATTTCATCACAAAAAGGCCAGGGCAATGCAAAATGTGGCAAAGACCCCTGTTGTGCTTTGCTGCAGTGGTGGCAAGTGAATAAAATAAGTTCTGCAATACAGCAGCATCCCTGTTTTTGTTGGCCTGCTTTTGACCTAACAGAGTGCAGTACATTTATAAAGTGTTTTCAGAGCTGTGTAAGCCAGGACACCTGTCCTTGCGCTTTAAAGGGCTGGCGAGTATGTAGATGTTAAACAGGCCATTTAAGAGCAGGGGTGTCAGACTCATCCTGGTCTGCGGGCTGCATCCAGGCTGCAGAGGCTCCTCCCAGGCTGGATCCATGAGGCCAGCAGAAACTGCAATGGGGCCCCGCTCAGGCTTGACAGGGACCCGAGACCAGGCGGCAGCACAGAGCTGCGTTCAGGTGGAAGTGCAGATCCAGGGGCATATGGTGGCATGGGACTTGAGACGGGCATCAGCATGGAGCCAAGGGCCCGTGGCAGTGTGGGGCTCTGGCTGGACGGCAGCGCAGAGCAGAGGGCGTGCAGTCCGAGTGGCCGTGCAGAGCTGAAGGGCTGCTACTGATGGCCGTGGTCATCATGGTCCAGGTACCCCAAATGCTGTGGCAGGCCATGCTCCCAGTTGCTGGTAGCCCACCAAACTACCGGTGGGCCGGGTGGAATAGTTTTGCGGGCTGAAAATGGCCTGTGGGCCGTAGGTTTGACCCCCCTTGAGTTTAGAGTAACTGAGAAGGACCGTGTTGGTGGGAAAGTTGCAGCCTGTACCGTAACAGGGGACAGATTTTCTGCAAGTCAGAAGTATTTGCAGGGCAGACATTACTCTGTAGCCTCTCCAAGTGCACTCCTTCCAGCAGCTGCTGTGACTCTACTGTGCTCCTATGTCGTACTGACAGTTTTTGAAGACCTACATTTCTTTCTTGCTTGCTGAACTTTGCCTCCTTCATTTGCATACTCCCTCTTTCAGTTTGTTATCTCCGGCTAATGTTGTGTGAATGCCTTAGTTGGTTCCACTTTTTTTTGTACTGCTAGGCCAGCCCTGTTTAAAAAAAATTTAAAAAAAAATAAAAATCCAACTTCCTCTGACTTTATGTAGCTCCTCTAGTTGCGGCATAATCCATGAAATTTGTGGCTATGGCATTTGAAAGCCCTTCCCCAGGTATCTGATTGCTTCTGCTGGAACCAGGCAGAGGTCTTCCCTTTGCACTTCTGGGAGCTTGCAGACAAAAGTTGATGGACCTCATATTGGCAGTGGGGTGAAGCACCTCGTATTCCTGATTATGTATTGCAAAATCCATGTTGAGGAGAGGGGAGGAGCATGGCTGAAGACTTTCTGATGAGAACATTATTGTCACCGGTTCAGAATTGTGGCTTTGTTAAAATCGGCTTTTATCATGTGGTCGGACTTTGA